TTCAGTTACTTTAAAGCCCAATTGAAAAGATAAATTATTCTTCTCTACTTTGTTATTGCAATACAGTCTGCGTTTATTACACATTAAAAGTCGACACTATGTATTCTTTATGGCTTAACTCTTTATCACCCAGTCTATATCTATCTCAATCTCTTACTAATTTTTCAACACTTATTTATATAGTGTGTGTGTGTGTATATATATATACACACACACTCTTGACAGCAATCTAGAACTTTCTATACACTACTAGATATTATATGATGCAACGGTACTCGATTAAAGCAACAAGAAAAATTGCACTATATAAACTAAGGAATATTCTCTCATTAAACTTAAAATGAACAGTCGTGTATATTTTAACAGTTGTGTTGTGTCACCTTGAGTGTTACTACTTTCTGGTTGGACTTCTCGGGGACCGACTGAAAAGACAGGTGTGTATAAGGTTTTGTTTGTATTAATGTAGTTCTTAACTTCTTGTAGAATGATGTGTTAAATGTCGATTCGTTTGGGAGTTTGAACGTGATTTGAAGGTGTTTTCGAAATATTTCTGCTTTTTGTGTGTTTGTGTTAGCTAAAATGTTATTGTATTTTAGAGTGTATTATTTGTGTTTATTTGTATTGTTTCCAGTAAATCTTTTTAAGTAAGACCAGAAGTTGTTTGGTCTCTATGTGTTAAGTTTTGAGCAACATTCATCCCAATTATCGGCTTTTAGTCTTTTTATTTGGTTTCTTATAGTGTTTCTGAGTGTATTTCTGAACTACTACCTTATACGTATCCTAATTTAATTTCTGTGGGACTTTTGTAGGGCGAAATTTAAGAGTTGGCTAACATCACTATATAGATGACTTCACGTCGTAGTTTGTTTCTTCGTGTTTCATTCTGTCTTATTTCGTAGGCTTAAAATTTCTTCAATACTTTATATGCTAATTGCATTAGATGCATGGATAATTCTATTATCCGTGACCTCATCTTGTATTAGAAATAACAATTTGTGTTCTGTATAAGACAAATATAGTGTCTGAATGGTTACAATAGAAATTTAAGTTAAAAACAACACAAAAAGTATGGGCTAACAAACGAAACACAAATGTGTTGAATGATGCACAATCCTTGAGTTGAATTTTTCACAATATACACATACACACACATAATATTCTTCGTAAAGTGAATCATTTCATAACATATTAAAAGTCAAACACTATACAAAAACTACTTTGAAAACTATCTCAGCCAAAGAGCATTTCTTTTCTATCACGTTCTACTCCTGAACAGGTTATAAGAATGTGACTTCATAACACAACAATGTATTTAAATAAACACAATTTTAATCTAGAAACTGCAAGTCATTTGTGTTGTTAGAAGACCTTGTCTGTTTATATGACTACAACAATCACCTGTGTTTCAGTTCACAAAAGTCTGTGTTGGAGAACGCAATTTTATGTTATGAACCGACGCATTGATTGTGTAACTTCATAAAACACCAATTTTTATATATTGTAGTGATTTTTGTATCACGTTTTTAGTACAAAATAGTCATTGTAACACTTGATATGCTGGTTTTTGTTTTGCTCCTTATATTTTTTTTTAGGTTTTCGATCATGTTATGCAGCTTCTTTTTATATTCTGATTAAATTCTGTGATAACTTGCTAGGCTTTTTCCGTGAAAATGTGAACTATCTTTTTTTTTGCTTGGTACCGCTACAACAGCATTACTTTTTTCCTCTGTGAGTGTCATTATAATATCTTTAATTTTCTTCTCTCGTTTTTAAAGTATCCCTAATAATTTTGATAGTTCATGTTATTATTCTAATACAAACAAAACAAACGACAGATCCCTTAAACTTAAACTAAATTTTATATCGTTTTACTGTTAAGAAAAAACAAAACACGTTACCGTGACCACTGTATTACCTCTACCTGACAATCTTAACTGGCCCGGCATGACCAAGGTGGTTAGTGTGCTGGACTCGCAATCTGCGGGTCGCGGGTTCGAATCCCCTTCACACCAAACATGCTCGCTCTTTCAGTCGTAGGGGCGTTATAATGTAACGGTCAATCCCACTATTCGTTGGTAAAACAGTAGCCCAAGAGTTGGCGGTGGGTGGTGATGACTAGCTGCCTTCCCTCTAGTCTTACACTGCTAAATTAGGGACGACTATCGCAGATAGCCCTCGTGTAGCTTTGCGCGAAATTTCAAAACAAACAATCTTAACTTGGCACTAAGAGGCGCCTTTTGAACTATCCTAACCTTCTTACATTGCTTTTATATTTCAAAACACAAAATCATAGATAATAAGGAAACCTTAGGGCACGGGAATCCTGTCTTGCCCCACTCTACTTTCACATTTTATAATAATGGCTGCAAACCATATACTTGTCACATCAACTGTCATATTTGAGTTTTCAATTGGTCTTTTGGTTGATATGCCACTGGAAATTATTAAACTTTGGATTTATTTACTATAACGCTGTTATAGTAAACCCATGTGTTACGTTCAAATAATTTAACAACTATGTAAAGCCCCTAAGTGGATTAGCAGTAAGCGTGCGTGCTTACAACGCCAAAAATCGGTTTTCGATACCTGTGGTAAGCAAAACACAAATCGCTCAACGTGTAGCTTTGTGCTTAACAACCAAACAAAATACTAGTTAAATATTAAACAAGTAATCTTAGTATCTTAGTTTTACTTTGTTCAAATAACATTAATTTATCTAAGTTTTTAACTGCATGATTAGTTAACAAACATCCGAAATGTTAGAGTTGAACAAAGTATTAAACTTACACAGGCGTAAAAGTGGGATGTTAACAATTCAGCGATTTTTTTTTATACATCTTCTTAGTCAATCATTTAGGGATTTTAACTTGTCAGTTATGCTGTATCAATGACAGGTAAGGTATTCAAAAGAGAAAAACATGGTCTCAGGTTGAAAAAAAAGCATACAGAAAGTGGAACAAGGAAATATGAAAGCTGATCTACAGTTGAAATTTTTATCTTTAGTGTAAGAATAAAAATTTCATATTTCATTATGTGTTATCCTAGTTATGAAGTTTTTATAAGAAAATATAACACTGGAATTATAAAGTAGGCTGGAACCTCTAGATCTAGAATATAGTATACTTCCTGCACCGACGGTTGAACTATGTGTATATATATATGTAGCTCCAAATTTTCACCACATCCAGATACGAGATCAAAGTTGAGTTGCATAATTTGACTTTAAACCAAACAAACAACCAAAAACGGTTCAACCAAATGCTTAAAACACAAAATAAATGAGTAAACATTAACGTACTTCAATACTCCAGCCTTCTGTGCTCCATTTAATTACAGAGTCGGATGAAGAAGCTATGCCAATGCTCATATTTCTTGAACACCTGCACAAATAAGTAAATTCACGATGTTAGGAAAACATGCAGATTCAAAAAATCAATTTAGCACAAAAAATGCAAAATCCTATAACCAGTTTACCACTGATGGAAAACGTTCCACCTTTCGAAAGCACTTGGGTTATATGATTTTGTATGTTTTGCAAAAATAAGTACATGCATACTTAAAAGCACTTCAAAATCGACACATTTTTAAGTACAGTAAAGAAGCTGAATGAAACTTCTTTGAAAGTAACAATCAGCAAAAAAAAAAAAAGTAGAAATACAGTCAGTAAAATTTGTAGGCAACATTTCGGACTGCCACTCTGTCTAATAGTATACTGTTGCAAGTTTGAAAAGTTACAAGAATAAGAACTATCAATGTCGAATACTAGCACATGTCTCACTACTGATCTCACTTTGCCTGTGAATTCTCTTGATATCTCTACTGCAAATGTTGATGCAAGTTGCTTTACAACAGTCTGAAGTTGAAATAATTGCTGAAAATGAAAGTCTACTGGATCATGGTGAAATGATTCAATCTGCAAAAGATGAACTAAATAAAGCAAAAGAACCAGGGTTAAGGCTAGATTTCTCTGCTGATGATGTGGGATTGCTTGTGGACCCAGTGACTGTCAACACCACAATGGGCCATTTGACAAATCTTACCGGACTTTCAGAAGTGGCAAACCAGCAAGATACTGTTCACAAAACCTTTTCTTTGGGGTAAAAACCAATGGTGAGCAATACAAGAGAGAGTGATTATTGTATTCACCATCAACAGGGTCAGTTTACTGTTTTTTTTGTAAACTTTTTGCTCCTAAATGTTCCTCGCATTTTGTTAAAAGAGAAGGGTTCAGTGATTGGCGAAATACTATTGTAATGGATCATTATGAAAGAAGCACTACTCACCAAAACTTTATGCTAAAATAATTAACTCGGAGATAAGGTTTGGACTTGGGACAACAGTTGGAAAAACAAATTAAAGAAGAGTACAATTACTGGGAACATGTCTTGAGGCGTGTAATAGCTGTTATTTGTACGTTAGCTAAACGTGACATGGGTCTTAGAGGGACAGATGAAAGATTTGAGTCATTGCACAATGGGACTTTTTTAGGGCTGCTTGAGCTCATAAGTCAGTTTGATCCATTTTTAGCAGGGCACAATTCGAAATTTGGGAATTCTGGAAAAGGAAATCCTTCTTACCTGTCCAAACCCACCTGTGAGGAACTCATTGAACTAATGGCTCAAAAGGTCCACACGCTCATTGCTGACAAAGTAAATTATTCTGGTTATTTTACCTTGTCAGTTGACCCGACACCAGATCTATCACATATAGATCAGTTAAGTGTTGTACTTCGATACTTAAAAGATAGGCAGCCTATTGAACGCTTTTTAACCTTTCTGGAATTAAAAAGCCACACCAGTGAGGAAATGGCAAACCAGGTGTTGCAGTACTTACGTGAAGTTTGCAAACCAAATTTTTCAAAATTTAGGGGTCAGTCCTACGACAACGCTGCTAACATGTCTGGGCATTATAAGAGGATGCAGCAAAAAATTTTAAGAGATAATAAGTTTGCCATATATGTGCCCTGTGCAAGCCTATTCATTAAATCTGGTAGGCCGAAGTGCTGTTGACTGCTGTCAAGTGGCAGTTAATTTCTTCTCTACAGTGCAATTGCTATATAAATTTTTTTCAGCCTAAACCAGCCGGTGGAAAATTCTTAAAGTTTGTCTTGGAAATGAAAGTATGTTAAAATCCCTCTCTGATACCAGATTGGAGGCACATGCTATGGCAACAGCAGCAATAATGAAGTCTTTCTTTGATATTTTGAAAGCTTTAGAATGTCTGGCTGAAGACCAGTAACAAAAGGGAGACACTAGAAGAGAAGCAGATTATATTGCAAATAAGATGCAAGAGCTAGAATTTGTTTTTATGTTGAGCCTTTGGGATGAGATTTTGCAAAAGTTTCATAGAGCAAGTCAATTTCTGCAAAATGGGGATGTGAACTTAAAAACATGCGCAGTTCTGTATGGGTCATTAGCTGACCAACTGCGCACTTCAAGAGATGACTTTGAAAATTTTGAAGCAATTGCAAAGGAAATACTACAAGATGTTGATTACAATGCAGCTCAAACTTGCAAACGTATGACAAAGAAGGTACTCAATGACGGAGATGCACCAGAAGTCTGAATGCCAGAGATAAATTTCGTATAACCACTTTTGACACTATTGTTGACAAACTAGAAACTCAGATTAGAAGGACAGGAGAGGTGTACATAGAAATAGCGGACATATTTTATCGTCTAAGTTATGTGCTAAATAATGTCACTTCATCATCTACTGAAACTGAATGGTACTCTCAATGTTGTCAAAAGCTGATTGATGCTTACCCAGATGACTTGAACACTAATTTCTCTGCTGAGCTTCAGCAATTTCACTCACATGCATGCCATAATTTCAGTGCAACAAAAATTGTAAAAAACCAGATTCGGTCATGCTGAACTTTATGAAATAATTGTAGAAGGCAATACTGAGTGCGCGTTTCCAAATGTAGAAATTGGCTTGCGTATATTTTTAAGATTAATGGTCACAAATTGCACAGCAGAACGTTCATTTTCTCAGTTGAAGCATATCCCAACAGAACAGCTATGCGACAAGACAGGCCTAAATGCCTTGTCTCTACTAAGTATAGAAGCAGATTTGTTACGCCATATTAGTTTTGAGGACTTGATCAAAGACTTTGCAATTAAAAAAAAATAGGAGAAAACTTTTTAAAGTATAAATAGTTATAAGTAGGCAACAATAAGCATTATTTTGCATCTTTTGATCCATGTATGTCGAAATGCTATGTATCTTCAAGGTTAGAAAGCAATGGAATAAAAGATGTTTTGTTCGTACATATAATGATTTTTCTTCATTAGAATTTCTTTTTTCAAAAATTGACCACCAACATCGATTTAGTTAGAAAGAATCGTTTTCAATAAATTTTTTGTATTTTTCCCTTATAAGTTTTTTTTTTAAATGAATAAAAAAATGTTGAAAATTAGCATTTTTCCTTTTCCCTAGTTATAAGTAAATACTTTGCTTATATTGCTTACTGCTATTTAGTGTTAAATAAATAAAATTCAAAAACAAATTATATTTAATATAGTTGTGGGGTCTGGTCTGGAAGAAAACTGAATTTATAATCTATTATTTCACATTCAGCACTTATTGAGTCTTAATGTCTTGTCAGTTAGACAATGGAAGGGTCGAGGGGGAAGCATTATTGGGCATCAGTTGATCTTAATTTGGCCCTGACTATCTGTCACAGTCCCTAATTTTGAACCACTAAGTAAATGCAAATATTCGTCCATAAAATTAACGAAATATCATCTGGGTTTCATAATAACCAAAATATACCATTTTCACATGAACTATATTTACATTGCCACCAGAGCTAACACATGAAGAAGCAAGATAACGTACTTCATATCATTGTATCGCACAAGTAATATCTCAACTTGTCAGTGTAGCTCAACAAAATATGAAAGACAATGAAGAATTCATACACCCAGATCTGTTAAAGAACTGAGTCTCTATGGATAACATTGACGCAAAAGTAGTTAACACAGTAGATGGAAAGCTGTCCTTCAATGCTGCTGACTTAGAAGTCTGTCAAGGATTTGGAACTCATGAAGCTTCAACAAATGTGACTGTGACCCATGCATTAAAAAAAAACACATGCTCTTCTATATGTTCTGGTATATTACAAACAGTGTCAGAAAGAGCTATAAAACTGGCTCCAAACAGAATTACTGGCAGTCCAAAACCTCAGACAAGTCCTCACTATGAACAATCCTCGATAGGAAGGCATAACAAATATTCTTACAAAATCTAAAGCACATGACATTCTCTACATGTACATGTTCTAGAGAAAGGTGTCATAGCAAGTCATGTAAAGTGGTATAAAATGATCAGCAAATCACTTTCAATCAAATTTGTTTAATGAAATGGTTTTGTAAGCTATACTTTAGGTCGAAATGGATCAGTATTCTTAAGCACATGACATCAAATGTAATTTTAAGATTGATATGTGGCACAGTACTTAATGATGAGTGGTATCAACTTGAAATATTGAATAATGAGGTAAAGATAATACTCAATGTTGTATTTCATCATAAATTTCTCTTTTTTTTGTCATGTTATGTATTGAGAATTTGAAATAATCCGAAGCCGAATTAAATAATTTAAATTTCAATAGTTCAATTGTACCCTGGATTTAGTGTCTAGAAATATGCCGATATTTTATTTAATTCACACTATTTGCCAACAAGATTGATTCACGCCGTTTTTTTATGACACAAATACGTTTTAATATATATACAACAGTACAATTTACAATAGCAACTATTACAATTAATTACTACAAACAAAGTTTCATAAACAAAAATATCACTAACTTACAAATAACATAAAATCTTCTTCCTAGTTCAGTCTCCTTGATATCCAGCGAGTTAACTTGAAGTCGATGTACGTACAATTGCCGAGAAGCTAGCTAGCTTTGTCAGACACTGAATTGTTGGACCGTCGAAGTAAGATAATATTTTCATAAAACCACTAATGTCCAATGAGAATCCAGTAAAATTTTCGAAAAGATACTAACTTCCGATGAGAATTCACTGACGTTCGAAATTTATAACTGTTCCTGGTCAAATGTCGTATATCTTCCGGTTAATAAGGGTTAGCAAAATCACGGTTTATAGCATACATTGTTATAACAGGTTCCTAGCAGACTAATATCTCTCTCTGTGGCCTTGGTCTTCTTATACATATGGGAAATGTTTTCTCGAAAGTTCGGACAACAATACCGAACTATGTTTAACCGGTTACAGAAGTGGATACATTGCCAATTCTTGCATTCACGAATATTCTACAACCTTGGAGAATTGGCGGGAGTTTTCTCATACGTAACTAATCTGTAAGCTAAGCATGTTTTTACATATAAACTCAATCCCAACAAACG